TAAGAACACAATAAGTTCACTTTGGACAAGCAGTTGAAACTATACTGTCATGTTTCTACTTCTCAAAGTGAAAATAAACATGACAGGTGCTCATTTGGCTGTTCAAGCACTTTCCACTTAAATGGCAATTCCTCAAGCTTACCGACTGCAGCCTGAAGTTATAATTTATTACTGTTTCTGTATTATTCCCTTGCCTCGGCAAAAAGCAGAACATAGCACCTACATTTCAAGACCCATGAGAGGTAATAAAGCATAATTATTTCAAATTTATGATTAAGCCATAAATTATATGTACTTTTTACTTGAGTTGGTCAGAGGTTGGGAGAGGAAGGGAATGGGGTCAAAGGAAGAAATAACAAAAGCCTTTCCTTTGAACAAAATATCTAAATCAGGGCAGGACTGAGGGACACCTGGAGAATTTATAAAGATAACACAGTCTCCAGGTTAATCCCACATGAACCCCCAATTAAGAGACTTTAAACTCCTAGAGGCCTTTGTTCCTCCTGCTGACATGGGTACAGAGTCTAACTAGAGTGCCCATGTTGACCTGAAAAACAGAAGCATGGCGTATTTTCAGGTTATATCATATCAAATGTTCAGTGTTCTGGGTCTTGCTTCATCTAAGTCATAGGTATTTCAAGGAAGGTGAAATAATCTATAAAAAAAACTGCTGACCAGGCTCTCTAAGTAAAGGCAGCTTCAACCAAAGTAATAGTTATCACAGAGCTCTGATTCAGCAATGGCCAGATGTGAACTCTTCTCACCCTCGAGAATCAATTGGTGACATTTCCCTTTCCTGTAGTTCCTTGATGTGGCTACGGAAACACACATGTGGAACAGCTAGGTACAAAGCTGGAAAGCTCAGGGCATGAAGCAGAATAAGAACACAACATTCAGCGCTCTTTTATCACCCACTCGGCTCATTGGCTGTTCAATATGCATAAGCCAAGTCCCATTCTTCATAATGAGTCCTCACGTTCAGATCGTAGCTTACACAGCACTTTCCCATGTATGTTCTTATTGTCCTCAAAGTAACCCTGGGAAGGAAGTATCGTTATGCACCTATTTGACAGTGGAGGCAGAGACTCAGAGAGGTGGTGGAGACAATGCAGTGAGTCTGGCACCTGGTCACCCAATCCCACGGCCTTGTCATTTCTCTACCCACTACTATTGGTGAGGTAAAGCAAAACCAAAAAACAAATGCCATGCATTTCAATGTATATCGCTTTTTTCTTTTTTTGCGGTGGAATTTTTACTTGGCAATTGAAGCTTTGAGACGGCTGTTTGTTATAGTAACAAGACATTTAAAACTGAGATTTAGTTGGGTTTAAGGAAACAAAAGTAAAGAGACCAGAGAGAACACAGTCATGAACAGTGACACGTAAAAAATAATAGTAATAAATTAAGGGGAGGAAAAATGGGGTTTGCCCCAAACGTTTCCCTAGTACTCACCTTTGTCCTGAAACATCCCACTTCCACACCCAGCTCCTGCTTAATGAATATAATTTGGTTGATGTCCCTTGAACTGTATAATCTATTCCACAAAAAACCCAGTTTGTCTCCAAGTCATTTTAAGTTGCTAACTCCCTAGTTACATTCAGTCTATGGAAAACATCTGTGGCAAAGTAAATCATCCTACTCTGAGAAAGACCAGAGTGCATTTTTTTTTTTCTCTAAGTGTGTTTTGAAGTCCTGGTTGGAAAATTAGTGAAAACTGTAAATCTGTTTGCAAATCTGGTCATGTCTAACTCTGAGATTAGGGCACAGATTCCAATTTAAAAGTAAAACCATGACAACTTCAGTTAAGCGTGTCCTCAGGCACTGCCAGCAGGGCCTTCACTCACTTCCACGGGCAGTGGATTTATTACAGGCACCCGACACGTTCTCCATCAGACACCCCTGGAGTATTTACTTGAGACAGCAGGGTTCAGTCTGCACTTCCTCTGCAGACCAATATATTATTATAAATTGAGCTAAACTGTTTCCTTTTCATAAGTGCTATGAAGTTCAGATTTCAGATATCAGCACGGAGCTGAGGTCTCTCCATGGAGTTCCTTGCACCATTTGGATTTAAAAGTAAAGAGAAAAGGCAGCATTTGACCACAGTTACTTTTTACTTTTGCCTGTTTTTCTGTTTTGTTTTGTTTTTTAGAGAAGAGATGGGGAAGATGCATTTTAGAAATCAAATGTAACATCTTAGTAAGAAAATACACTCTAAATGCAAACTTTGTGGTAGAGTTCAGTAAGATACCAACTATTTCACCTATATCTGAAGGCAGGAGTTGGAAAATCAGGAGTAGACTTTATACCTTGAATATCAGCTCTTATAAAATAATAACACTAATTTCCTCTGTTTATCACATACAATAGCTAAAGGGACCCGATGTATATTTAAAAATGCATATTCATTATAACATATGTCAAATGGATAATTTATATATAATATTTTCATTATTAATCCATTTCTTAAACACTGAGAAAACCATAACTTTAAAAAGAAATGGAAAAGAAAAGAAACAAACAGAACATGGTCATCTTTTTTTTCCCCTTCCTGAACAATTTAGTTCTAAAGCCATTAGGTAAGGCAGACACATCATGCTATGGCAGAGAGAAGGGGGCACAGAAGCCCAGAGCAGGGGTCAGTGCTTGAGTGCGATGAGGAGGGCATCCATATCGGGGGCAGCAGGGTGGGCTGACATGGAGTATCACATCCCAAGTGGGATAAAATGACAAGATCCAATCCATACTTCTTATTAGCTGTGTTACCGTGGCTAAGTAACCACATCAATCTAACTCTGATTTCCTCTTTTGCAATACAGCTAATATTTGCTTCTCAGAGTCACTGAGAAGATTAAAAGAATGCTTGACTTGTTATTGGTCCTTAATAAATGTGGTTATCATTCATATTACTACTATCATTCCAGATAGAGAGAGAGAGAGATAGAAAAAAAGACTGAAAAAGAATATATTAAATCAGGCATACACCTAATTTTTATATATTTTTTTTTGTTTGATACTTTTCTGAGTTTCTTTCTCTGCAATGAGTACTCACTGCTTTTTTAATGAGAACACATAAAATGCTAGTAAATATGTGGAATACAGCTGAACTTTTACAATATATATTTACTACTTTTATATACAGAAAAAAACTAATAAATCTATTTAAAAGGGCACTATTCCAGATCACATTTCTTTTAAAGATGCAAATTGCTAATAAAAACTCCTGAACAAAGTATCGAAAGGAAAGTGATTTATTGGCTAAGTTAACACCCATTTAGACTCAGGTCAAATATCCAAATATTTGGGTGGTGCATAAAAAAAAAAATTACACTTGATAGAGCAGAGATTTCAGAATAGAAACTTAGTTCCTGAGGTCAGGCAGGAGAGAGAAAGGAGAAGAGTTGACCTCAGCCCTAAAAACATTTTCACATGAGAGATTACACTGTATTGGGATCAAGTTGAAATGGTTCCATTTTGAGTGGGAACAGCACTGCATGTGAAGCCTGCAACCCATTCTGGTCCCTGTTCTGCCTCAGACGGAGGGATTTTGGGCAAATTACTTAATAATCTCTGCCACCTCCCTCACAAGGTTCTTTGGAAACTGAATGAGATTGCTTATGTGAAACTGATTTGTAAATTGTAAAGCAACATGCAAATAAAAGGCAAGAGGTTAAGGGCTTACTCGGATCACTGTTCAACAAATGCAGGAATCACCCCATGAGAAGAATTTCAGAGGTAAAGGGATACAGCATTAGATATCACTGAATCACACTGTGAGAAAAAGTCCCTACACAGTGATCTTCCCATCCTCCTTCAGACATTAAGGAGAAAGTCTCAGATTGGTACAATCATACAGTTAACACCTCTCTAACAGTTACTAATCTCTGTTTTTAACAAAGACAGAAGGGGACTCAGATTCTGGATCTCCAGCAAACTACAATAGCAGGCACTTAATACCTTTTAGTTTTTCTATATTTGTATTTACAAAATCCTTCTAATTATGCCAAGAGATACATGTTTTCCATTTAAGATAGTGATATAAAATCCTCTTTTAAAATGAATTTATTTCAAAGAAAGAAAAAAAAATGAACTTATTTAGAGAGAAATAGTACATAAATAAAGGATTCTGAGAAGGCAAGGACCAAGATTTACCCATCTCCAATATCTCCCCCAGAACCTTACACAGTGCCTGTAACATAGTGGAGTCTCTATGACAGGCCAATGTCTATGAATATCCAACCAACTGGGAATTAATTCTTATCATAAATACCGGGCTTGAGCCTTGGTTCTTCCAGGCTCTAAAACCAACATATGAGTTGATTTCCCCCAGGCCCACGGGAGTGAGATAAACCCTGAATAATCAGGAGCTAGAGTCAAGGAGAAAATAAACCAAAACCCAAAGAAGCTTGTGAGTAAAAAAGGATAGTGTTTGCACACTGTGCATCAGAATATAAGCAGCAAGTCCAAAAAAACAATACAAAAAACTTAGAGCAAAGAAACAAAAAAACAAAGCACCATAAACTCCATAGCTTCAGTTAGCCTAACCCCAGCTGAAATATTGCTTCCCAAAGAACTAAATGACAAGGAGAGAGAAAAGCCCTATTGTCGGGTCAGCTGTTCATGAGAAGAAACAAAATTCAAAACTAGAAAAACTCTCTCACTGCTAAAAACTTACACAGACAGAGCAGTATCTTAGAAAGTTACACTGTTGATTTAGATGATTTAGTAGCTCTGATGAAGAATCCTGAAAATTGTTTAGTACATTTGGGGAACTCCATAAACAATTAGAATGAAAAGAGAAGCAACTTTTAAAAATTTAGCAATATCTCAAAAAAAAAAAAAACCACCAAAAAACTAGTTACGTGTTCTTATACAGAAGTTTCGCTATTAATATAAAATACTCAAAAAATTTATTTGTAAAGACATATTCAAAATAAGTACCCAATAATCTAAATCTAGACACTAGAGCAACAATATAATTTTGATTCTCCTAACATTACCAAGCATAAAATAGCAGTCTCCTTGGTGAAGGGGTATTGCCAAGCCAGGTGTCTCTATGTCCCACGAAATCTTAAAACCAACATGCCAAGTGTCAGGATCTCTGCCCTCGAGATGAGAATCATCCTCACTTTCTTCTTCGGGGCCTGTCGAAAAAGAAGAAAGTGATCAGAAAGGAAATGTTTAACTTAAACTTCTTGGTTTTACTATAGTTATCTTATAAATAATTGATATTTTAATAAAATATGAATGTTAGTGAAGCAGATCCTCCTTTTGGCGTATTTTCTAAAAAGACATTCTAGAATATTTTTAACATGTCATTTATTTTTTCAAGACACTTTAAATAAGAGAACACTTCAAAAAATTCATGGAAAAACAGAATTAAAATATAGTACAAATCTTTCCATGAACTTTTTGAAGTACCCTCAAAAAATGACGAGAAAATAGCCACTGATACTGATGAAGATAAAAGATTATGTTGTTCAATTCCAGGCAAATAAATTAGAAAATCTAAATTAAATGAATAGTTTTTTTTTTTTTTGAATAATATTAATTACCAAATTCAATCTAGGAAGTGGTAAAAAAGCTAAACAAACCATGGAAGGTATAAAGGAAGTTGTCAAAAAAATTATCTCTCAAGAAAACACAGAGAGTTTCCAAGGAGAATTCTACCAAACAATTAAGGAATGAATACTTTTAATATACTTTAAATTGTTTAAGAGCATAGAAAAAGAAAAGCTTCATAGAACAATATGTATCAAAACCCAAAAAGAAAATGCACACATATACAAACCAATCTCAAATCTGAAAATCAATTCAAAATTCTTAAATATAAGAAAATAAAATCCAAATTCGGCAGCATATTAAAAGAATAACATTCCATGACCAAGTAGAACTTATTCTGGGCATAGAAGGACATCTCAACATATAAATACTTATACTTAAAAGTCACCATTTTCATAGAGCAAACAAAACAAAACAAAAAAAAAACCAAGAGTCACCACTCTGGTGACACAAAAATATTTTATAAAATACAACATCCTTTCATAATAAAAACCTCAATAAAAGGGGAATAGGTGGCTACTTCCTCAACCAAATAAAATATAGATCTGTCTCAACTCCAAAGCCAACATCATATTCTAAGAATTAGAAAAGGATATCCTTTTATCCAATTACTCGACATTATTCTGGATGCAATGGCCAACACAGTAGTGCCTTCTGGAGTTGCACGATAGAGCAGCCTTAATTAGAAAAAAATGAGATATAAAATTTTTTAAGAAATAAATCTTTTTGCAGATGATATGATTATCTATATTCAAATCAACAAGGGAAAATACATCCCAAGCAATAAACGAATTAAGAAAATGCTAGCTACAAAATGAAATCACAGTAATTAATAACTTATACAAATATAAACAAACACCCCATTTACAACAATATCTAGTAAGATTCTCATTTGTGCGTTGTCTACATGAAGAAAAACTTTCAAGTGCTATTAAAGGCTACAAAAGAAGATTTAAACATGTAAAGACATACTATATTCTTGGGAACTAAGACCAAACATCATGGAAATGTCAGTTCTCCTTATGTTCAGCTAAGAGTTTAATACAATCAAAATAAAAAGGCCAACGAGATTGTTTCTTTAGTTGAGTGGAGTTGGTAACTAGACAAGTTGATTCTATAATACACATGAAAATATAAACAGGCAAAAATAGCCAAGAAATGATTTTCTTAATATATAAAGAGCTCCTATATATCAATAGGCTAAAGATCAATAGCCAAATAGAAAAATGGGCAAATGTTATGAAAACAGAACGCATAAAAGGAAATAAAACTAGCTCATTAACATAAAATGATGTTCCAACTTAGTCACATAAGAGAAATACAAATTAAAGCCACAAGAGATATTTTTTGCCTATCAAATCAGAAAAGATCAATCATTTTGAAAAAATATGACGTTAGTAAGAGTGTAACAAAATGGCACACTCGTACTCTCTGTAGAGGGCAATTTGGTAATACCTATCAAAATTACAAATGCATAAACCCTTTGACCCTTACAGGAATTCCACTTTTAGAAATGTATGCTAAAATTCCTACCTGCAGAGGTTGCAAAATGATTGCTGAGCGAGCGCATTTATTGCAGTACTGTTTATAAAAGCAAAAGATCAACAATAACCTAACTGTCCATAAAAAGGGTTCTGATTAAATAAACTACAATATGTCCAAATAATAAATTACTATGTATTCTTTAAAAATAATATGACTATGTACTGATATGGAAGTATCTGCTATATTTTTAAGAGAAAAAAAACTAATAGGCTATAATTTGTATAAAAAAATACAGTACATATAATATTTCTCAAAGGATACTCAAGACTGATTTCTCTGGGGTACAAGAGTGGGAGAAACACATAAAGGAGGTAGAAGGTATGCACCATGGTTTGCCTACACTCACAGTCCTGAAAGAATGACCTTACATAAAAACTTTGTAAAGTTGGGGCCGGCCCGGTGGCGCACTGGATGGTGCGCCGCTTGGGAAGCGCGGCGGCGCTCCCGCCCGAGGGTTCGGATCCCACATGCAGACCGGCTCCCGCTCGCTGGCTGAGCGAGGCGCGGGAGCAACACCGAGGCTTGCGATCCCGTTGCCGGTCCCCGGTCCGGTGCGGGGGCAACACTGAGGGTTGCGATCCGTTGCCGGACACGGACAAAAAAGACAAAAAAAAAAAAAAAAAAAAAAAAAAAAAAAAAAAAAAACTTTGTAAAGTTCATTTAAGAAATATTTACTGATCACTTACTGTATACTAGGCACAGTACCAGGCACTTGGGATGTATCAGTGACTGAAACAAAGGACTATGCCTCAGCAGAGCTTTCCTTTTAGTAGAACTGTGAATGTTCATCACTGATTACTCTTAAGAGAACATTTTAATTTTAAATTCCATTAGACTTTAAACTGCTCTACTAAACTCTGGTCTTCAAAGGCAGGGTCCGTTTTTCTATTTCATCCACATTTAGAGCCCTAGTAACTGGCACATAGAAGGCATTCAATGAAGACTTGTACTAAGCTGCTTGCTTAAACAAAGTGTTCTTTCAGTTCATACCATTCAGTCTTTACTGTGCTAGATGGCAGGGAAAGAAAATGTTTGGGGAAAAAAATACCTCAAATTAAACCAAAGAACATAATAAAGCATGACATTGCTGCTAAACTAGTATAGACCTCAATACTAAAGAAGTTTAGAGAAGAGAAAGGTTCAAGGAGAATTAGAACAGTTAGAGCATAATTCTTAGAGAAGGTCAAATTTGAAAGACAATAGCGTTTAGACTTGCAGAGGGTAGAGGGAAGACAAAAAAATGCGAAGTTGTGTGCAATCAAAATGGACAACAAAGCCTATTTTACTTAGGCTTCATCATGAACATATCACATAAACAATCCGGAAGTGCAGATATCCCAGATGGCACATACTCATATACAGAATCCCTAAATTCTGCACATTTTACTCTAGAGTAACTGTATACCAGGCTCAAAGCAGTAAAAGAAAGGAAAAAAAGGATCTCCTCTTTATAACTGTTCAGTCACATTACTCTGCACTTGGTTTGATGAAATAGAACAGAGCAGAAATCCAAGTTCATGGTCTGTGCAAGGAAGATATACTGCTAAACGACCTCTGAGAACACATCCAACTGTGGATATTCTTCAATTCCCTAAGTTTTTTTTTTTTTAAAGATGACAGGTAAGGGGATCTTAACCCTTGACTTGGTGTTGTCAGCACCACGCTCAGCCAGTGAGCAAACCGGCCATCCCTATGTGGGATCCGAACCCGGGGCCTTGGTGTTATCAGCCCCGCACTCTCCCGAGGGAGCCACGGGCCGGCCCCAATTCCCTAAGTTTTTTTTTTTTAAAGATGACAGGTAAGGGGATCTTAACCCTTGACTTGGGGTTGTCAGCACCACGCTCAGCCAGTGAGCAAACCGGCCATCCCTATGTGGGATCCGAACCCGGGGCCTTGGTGTTATCAGCACCGCACTCTCCCGAGTGAGCCACGGGCCGGCCCCAATTCCCTAAGTTTGAATCTAAAGTTTAATACTGCCCTATTAAGAGAATCATACACCTTTTGTCACATATACTGTTCTTTCTAATACATGTTTTCTCAAGTACTTTTTAGTTAAAAGCATCTTTTAATTAGACTTAAGAATAATGCCATATAATAAAAAGTCCAAAGCCACTTTCTAGGTTAATCCTCAAAACATTTTTTTTTTTAAATCCTCTGGAACAGAGATGACAAATATCTTACATATCAAGGGACATGACTGATTTGTTGCTTGTGGCTTTCCTGAGCCCTGTTTGGAGAAGAATTCTGAAACTTTCCCCAGGTACAGTGAGAAAGAGTACTAGAAGCACAGGAAAAGTCAGTGGGAGCACGAGCACTCGCCAGTTGCTAGCCATGTCTGATGGCATTCTCCAGGCAGTTCTTATTTATACATAATACATAGTTATATTTACAGATACCAGAATTTGCTAAACTAGGGCTGTGGATCAGGAAAGAAATCACAAAGGTGTGTGGCTTGACCTGCACTCTATTTCCTTAACAAATCTAAATCAGTATAAAAATCCAAATTCCCACCTACTCTTGAATGACAAGATCTGGTATGACTGAGTCACAAGTGACTATAGGTAAGAAGTAGCTGCCCCTTTTGGACAAGGTGTGTGGTCTGTGCTAGTCACAGTTCCTACTCAGCCACTTCATTTCATTCATTTGTGGTACCTGCCTCGACCCTACAGCAAAGTCTCTGAACCTTGCTCTAGAGCTGGGTCACAGAGCCTACAGACAAATCAGGACTGTTTTTGAAAAATAAAGTTTAATTAGAATACAATTATGCCCCTTCATTTACATACATGGCTGCTTTCACACATAAAAGTTTGAATAGCTAAAACACAGATTATAAAAACCACAAAGCTGAAAATATTTATTATCTGGCCTTTCACAGAAAACATTTGCTGACCCCTGCTCTAGAATCTTGATATTTGTGATTTGATAGAGATGTCTACTGCATACACTAGTGAAGACGCCTAGGCTACATAAAAATAATAGTGTTGTAATGTGATTAATACCTAATAATGTAATATGACTAATAATAGCATACCACATAATAAA